ACCCGGCTAGGTTCATCTTCAACGTCGACGAGACAGGCCTCCAGTGGAAGCTCTTGCCCAGGCGCACGTACCTTTCCACCTCGGAGGATCGGAAGACGGCGCGGGGTCCAAAGAGCATGTACTTCAAGGACCGACTGGCTGCCATCATGTGCTGCAATGCCGGCGGCACTGCGAAGGTGGACATGGCCATCATCGGAAAGGCAAAGGAACCCCGTTGCTTCAAGGACGGGGGTTCACCTCTGAAGTACTTCTCGCAGGCCAACGCGTGGTCCGACTCTGCGACGTTCCTCAAGTGGTGGCTTGAAGTCTTCCTCCCGTTCGTTCGGCGCTTCACTCACGAACCTGTGCTGCTGATGATGGACGGCTGTTCGTCTCACGGTGATCTAGTGGATGATCGNTTCTCGAGAAAGCATGGGCCAGCGTCACCGCCCAGGATATCGCCAGGTGAGGTTTGAACATGTGGTATTGCTGTTTTTTTCAGCTCCCGCATGTGCGCGTGGCTTTGGTGGTGCGATACGTGGGGACGGTTGTACGGATATTTTCGCATGGGTTTCCTTTTTTTCGACAGAGTATTGCAGCACCCGGACATGCCCATTTCTCCTGTTCTAAGAAAGGGTCCTCTCTCGCATTCCTATGAGTCGTTCTTCGTCACTCCCGTCCAACATCGCTTGTCCACCCAAAAACGGATGCATTGCATTTTCTGCTACCTGGGACCAGGTGCTTTGTCAAGGCCGACACGCTTCCTCCGGAGATGGCGGCTGAGCTCACCACGGAAAGACTCGATTTAGCATCGCCGAGCCTGACTTGAAGGCTCTCACGGAGACTGTCAACAAGATGAGCACGAGCGTCGGCGACGCGCACGAGCAGCGAGTCGGCACCGTAGACGATGAGATCAGCGAATTCTTCGCAGAACTCGACATCGAACCCGGAAAGCCGGTCGAGGGAGAAGCGGTGAGCGCCATTCAGGGGTGGGGTACCCTCGAGGACGACGATGAGGTGGCAGAGGCTCTTCGACTGGACGCAGTGGACGAAATGGCGGCACTGCTGGCTGGAACGCAGGTGACAACAGGCGGCGAGGAGGAGGACGAAGAGGAAGGCAGTGGCGATGACAACACGGGGCCCGAGCGCCGTGCTCCACCTGCATATGATGAGCTGTCGCCTCACTTCAGCGTCCAAGAAGCGGCAGCAGATGAGAGTGGCAACGGAGATGCGGCGTTCTTCCTAACGAAAGCGAAGATGGTAATGATTGCAGCGCATTCCGCTGAGCGGGTGCGCCAGGCAGACATGAGGGAGTTTGTTGCTCCTACGGAGCAAGGTTGAGGGGTGCAGTTGTTATTTGTAGCAATGGTTGTTTCCTTTTCTTCCGGTGTGCTTCCTGTCGTGCTTTGCTTTGTTTTTTTCTTCTTGTAACATCCGAGGGGGTGCGCCAGGCACACGTGAGAGAGCGTTGCTGCTACGTTTCGAGGGCGGGGAGAACAACTGTGGTGGTAGTAATGGTCGTTATTTTTTCGTTCGGTGCGCTTCCTGTCGTCGTTCTTTCTCTATGTTGTCTTTTTTTATCGGGCAACATCGAAGGAGGGCAACGAAGACTAAGACGTCCATTAATCCTACACTCATTTTCGATCCACGATCCACATCATACTCTGTTGACCCCGCAAAGTTTGAGCGCAGCACCATGAAATCACCGCCTCCTCAGTAGTGCCGGTTAGTGCCGGACCAGCACTACTGAGGTATATTCGAAGCCTCAATACTGCCGAACCGGCACTATTGAGGCACTATTCTGAATACTGCCGGTGCCCGGTATAGTGCCGCTTTCCCCTCTGGACACAACCCGGCACAATAGCGCCCCCCCCACTGTATGCGCATTGATACACCATAAGGGCGGGTTCTTGTTCTTTGTACCTCGTCGGGACTGAGCATATCTTCTTATGGCCAAGTTCTTAGATTTTGGATTTTTGGAGGCTCAAGTTCTTAACTGCTAAGTTCGCAAGTGGTGGCGCGTTCTGTATTCAGGGCGTTCGGCTAAACAGGGAACCGCTAAACCGGAACCATGACTGTAACAGGACGCGAACGGTTTTCTCCATAGAAGGGGCGAAGAGAAACTTCACCTGCTTCTTGAGGAGAGTGGTCAGAGGCCGAACGTGCATAGCCGTGTTGGGGAGAACTTGCCGTGGCAGCTGAGGCCCCCGAGAAGAGAACGGAGTTGCTTGGTATTTCTTGGGCATAAGCATTTTGGTTAGGGCCGCAGCCTCGGTAACACTAGGCCTAATACCCTCGGGGGAGATGGTGTATTCGGAAGTCCGCTCCTGTAGCGCCAATGGTGGCTTTCGGGGGTTTGTGTTTCAAGTTGTGTGAGCGCAATCGTTCGAAGAGCGAGAATGGTACCAACATGAGAAGCTTGAGTGTCATCAAAGACGGCCAAATCATTCAAGTACAATGCCAAACCGTGGAGGTTTTTACTGACTTCGTGGACAACTTTGCAAAACCACCCAAGGGCAGCAGAGCTGCCTTGCGGCATGTTGAACCACTCGAAAAGCCCGGAACAAGTCACGAATGCCGTCGAAGGGATTGTATCACGGCGAACCGTGATTTGGTGGAACGAAGATTTCATGTCAAAAAGGGACTAAAGTCACCCCGTCAACAACTTGTCCAAAGTATCATCAACTTGAGGAATCAAACGCTGGAGACCTTGTTGAGCTTGCGATAGTTGACAGCGATGCGAATACGACCAGAATTCTTCGGTTTGAGAACCAGAGGGCTTGGGTAGGGCAAGGTCGAATGTTGTGTCAGATCAGCAGCAAGGCATTCCTCATGGATTGCATCAACTTGAAAAGGCACCGGGAGGTCAACCCGGTATGGGCGAGACGTGACGGCTGCAATGCCAGGCAAGCTTGAATGGAAAGAGCGAATAAGATCAAAGTGACCTTGGAGACTAAAACGAAATCTCACGGAGATAGTAGGAAGGCTCATCCGCACTCGAAACAAAATCTGACGCTGTGCTGGCGTTATCCGCTCGAGAAGAGCAGGCGAAGGCGATGATCGGGAAGCACCGGCGGAACCAGGATCCTCTTTTCGACGTTGCGGCGGCGTGGGTTAACAATGTAAACTATTCACGAAGCGGTCAGCAATAGATTGCGTGGCAGACGAATCAACGCCACCTGTCGCAACAGGACCCGAAACCCAGTTGCCCGAAGCAGCGGTGAAACCTTGAGCCGTCGTTTGAAGAGCGTCGCGCAAACTATGGCGCGACACAGCACTAGAAGGTACTTGGAGACGGGGAACAAAAGCTGTACCGAAGATGTCTCCTGGTTCGAGAGATTGCACGCGCGCGAGAGGGACTCGTTGACAAAGATTTTGTACGAATGTTCCTCTGAAGAAAACATTGCACATTGTCCAAACATACCCACTGAATTATAACCGGCGAGAGCCATGGCTGAGCACCAAAGTAACCGGAGCGAGGATGCGCTCGGTGAGAAGTTGGACGGAATGGTCCCCGGCATAGCCATATCAATAACTGCCATCGGTGGCGGACAGGTCGTGGGGAAATGCAGCCGGACCGTAGCTGTCGTGCCGAGCTAATGTAAGCTCAACAAGAACACGGTCACCACGATGTTCCGCACGCAAAGTGCGGTAAGAGCGGTCGCTAAATCGCATCCAACTATTTCTGCCAAGGAGCCCGTCATGGTGCAGGACACCATCCGGAACAAAGGATGCCCAACCAGCGAGAGAGGGAGTAGGAAGGTTCTTGTGGAAAAACTGAACACTCCAACAGACAAGAGCCGAAGTTTGGAGCGGCGCAGATTTGCCGAAACCACCCCAACATCGAGGTTGAGTTTGTTTCGCAACAACGACGAAGCGGCCGAAGCCACTTTCATCGACGCCTACGTGGAAGCACAAAAAACGACTGCGGGGAATCCGTGTCCTAAAGTGCAACACATCCTCCAAACCACTGTGAGTAAGGATTTTGGTGGTGAAGGAATCGTCATCTATGGTAGTAGCAACAACACCAACAAATCCGGACCTTGCTCAAGGAGCGAATGAGAGAAAGAGGATGGCGTACGCACCCGGAAGAAACTGCATAAACGGCGGTGTCATGATCTGACGGAACGTTCGGAGCGTATTGCGAGAATGACGCGAATCGGGCAGTCGATGGAGGGCGCGAAGCCGATTGACGACGCTGGTGAATTGGAAGGAAACCTTCTACACCGCGGTATGGAGAAATGACGCCGGAACGTGATCGGCAGAAGGCAACATACAAGATCTGAACTCGGGAGGCAGGGCATTTTGTCGTAAACTACTGCGTACTCGTTGGAGGGTGTCGCCCAACCAATTGAGGCCGCGCCATCGAGATGTAGGTCGAGCGTCTGGATCATCGGCCGGAAGGCCAGCCCCAAATACGGTCGAAGGGACTGGCTTCGGCAAGGATTTTGTCATCAGATCCGAGAAGATGATCTCGTAACTCAGAGGTTTGACAATAATTTGCGTAAGAGCCGGTGAGCACAATTTTTTCGCGCGCTCGTTCCCAACCAGGTTTGTCGAAACCACGGATGTCGCGGCCAAACGCCTTGTGTAGGGCAGGGTTGGACATTAGCATGATGTTCTGCAAAGCTCTGTGGTCTTCGAAAGGACGAGCCTTTTCCGCAGCGAAAAAATGCTCAGGAAACAAGCAAACAGCTCCATCGACCACAAAAGTCGACGGTGTCCGTTGGGAAAAACGAGAAGGGGGTTTCCAAAAGAAAATCATGTCTAAAATACAACACGCTGTAGACGGGTCGGAGCCGCAGGGGCCGGAGCGCCCTGAGTGCTGTCAGCCGAAGCTGGGGTGGGCAAAACACCCGTATTTCCATTGACGGTATGAATACGTGTGGGAAGAGTCCCGGCAATGGCGGGGGCTGTTGAAGAGTCGACCGGGTCGGATTGTCCGCAATAATAATTGTTCCAGCAACGTGGTGCTGGGGCGTCCCAACCCTAGACCTGAAATGACGCCTCATGAGGTGTCCTACAACAGGCCACTTTCGCTGGGAACGACTGCCAACGCCGGGTCGATTAATGAACTGGACTGGGCGTGGCGCTCCTGGCCATTCCCTCGTGGCAAGGTACGCGAGACCGCCGGCTGTTCGGAGGTTACTCCGGAGGCGTCTTCCCGGAGCAGCAGTGTTGTCAACACTGTCGACGTCGGTCGCGGCTGCCCAGTATCAGGCGCCTTGCGTTGAGCGTACGTCGGAAGAGATGGGGCTTGAAAAGACGAACCGTGGTCGAAATGTCGCGTGGCTGAATCTGAGTAAGTTCGGTTGTCGAAACCAGTGGGACAAGGCGATTCAAAGCCAGGCGACTTTGACCCTAAGACTTGCCGGTCGGAACCACTCAAGTTAGCTACCGGTGCTACGGTCGAGGGCGGACCCTCAACGGAAGCGAGCACAGACGAATTGAGCGCGTCCGAAGATTCACCCGAGGTAATCAATTCGGGCAACTTGCCTCATCAATCGTCCAAAGCGTATGGTACCGCCACGGCCGGTATTAGCTGCAGGCGACGGGGGGAGCGGACGAGCGGTACCCGACAAGCAAGCGGCACTCGATGGCCCCGAAGGTCCTACGTTTCGTCCCCGCACCTCAAGGCAGCACTCTCAGCAGACTGTTTAGGTTCCGACGGAGCATCAGCCCGAAGACGAGCATGTAGAGGTCGCAGATGATCAGTGTCATTGGTGACAAGGTTGGAGTGAGAGCATGTGGCTGGATCGCGTCCTGGTCGACACTTGGAGAAACAACATGTACCGGTAGGATCGGCGTGGTAGGCGCAACGGAGTGTGTAGGGTCATGTGGTATACATCATCTTAATTCATCCCATGGGTACCTATGAGACGTCCTATGGGTCCCCGTGGGTGCCCCATGGTGCGTGCCATGGGTACCCATGGTGGTACCCATAGTATGTTGCATGGGTGCCCATGGGGACCCATGGCGCATCCCATGGGAACCCATGCGTGCCCATGGGCATCACCGTGGTATCAACGATGAGGATCCAAACGCGCGCACCGTGGGGTCCCATGGGATTGACGGTGGGAATCCGTGGGCACCCATGGGACCTCCCAACGGGGACGTATCCTGGACGTTCCATGGTGCGTCCCATGGGCGTCCATGGGTGCCCATGGTGTATCCCATCGAAACCCATGGAAAGTCCCATGGGTACCCATGGGACGCACCATGGGTCCCCATGGGGGATCATGGGACGTTCCATTGGTTCCCTTGGGACGAAATAGGATGATGTATTTTCCTAGAGCAAAATGCCCCGCAAACGCGTCCTGCGCCTATGCTACCGTGCCTCT